AACGTGCTAGACAGGTTTGAGGGTGCAAGTGTGGTCCTGGCCTTTTTTTCCGAGTGCTACCCAGAAGACTTAGAGACCACATCAGAGTCTCCCCATAACCATCCCTGCGATTTGCAGCCAAGACAAAAGAAATGCCTGATAGGACAAGTGAAGTGCATCAAAGAGAGGAGAGAAAGATTGTTGTTTTTTTTTGGAAGGTAGGGAGGGGTAAGAGAAGATGAAAAGATTTATAAGGAATCTGGAAAAACGGAAGAACAAAGATAAAATATGGGTGGGGCAAAAGAAGGTTTACAGTTGTTCATATAGAAACTAACACAATCATTAATAAATAATAATACAAGAATAAACTCTGTCTCACATACAATGTAAACCTACTTTTGCCCCTCCCTGTATATATGAAAAGGAAAGAGAAAATATCATTTATGACAGTAAATAAGTGTTATCTAGTCTTGCCCTTCTATTTTTCCTTTATTCTCTCCTTGGAGGAAGTCACTTAAGCTCTGCAAATTTGGGATATAAGCTGAAAGTAAAAAGTAAATGGCAAGTTTCTTAGGCGAACTGCTTTTCCCCCTAATCAAAAAAAAAAAACTAAAAAAAAAAAAAAAAAAAAGTACAGAGTGATTTGCAAAAACAATTGTGATTAAATTCAACAGATTTTTAAAAGAACTTGAAAGGAAGGAATTGCAGGGAAATGAAACTACAAAGAGATAATCTTTGTGTAGAGATTCATAAAGGAGAGAAAAAGATCTTCCCCTCTTCTCTTCCGATTTGCTCTAGCCCAGTAATCCTGGGTACTGGCAGACTATGGAGCAAATAGACAGATGCTTCCAGAAAAGATTATCTTTTATCTGTCACTCAGGGAATAACTCTGGCCTTATGACTGTAGATCCTGTGACCAAACCTTGTATAAACCTTGCTATATGTGTCAAGCAGGAAAAAAACACACACTAATAATAATAATAATAATAATAATAATAATAATAATATATGACAATAACTAACGTTTATGAGCACTGATGAGGTACAAAGCACTTTCTATGTATAATCTCACTTAATCCTCACCTGAGCCTTATGGTTGCTGTCATGATTCCCATTTTACAGATGAGGAAATTGAGAAAACAAAAAAGAACCAGTCGTATTTAGATGGATTTTTCTATACTTTCGTTTCAGCAGCAGCAATCTGCTGCTTTCTTACTTAAGTAGAATGACACACGCTTCACTCTGTCCTCCCACAATCTGCTACAAAATCTTTGCAAATTCAGATCCTCATCCGGGCCTTTCACTTCCAGGGTAATCCCCCAGTTACGGTTTCCACTGGCTGTGCACCCTGGGAGTGTGGAATAAGAGCATCTAGCTCCCCCTGCAAATAAAGTTTACATCAGTGTTGGTCTGTGCTGTAGTCAGTAAATGCCCTTTGCCCTGGCAGAGGCCTTTCTCATTGCCAGGAGGAACTCTGAGAGCCCTGCAGGAAAGGAAGAGCCTCTGAAAGGCTGGGAACTAGGAAGAAACCTTTGCACAGGGACCTCTCTGGATCCATTTCGGGCCTTAAAGACTTCCAATTTCTCCTTCACTCACTTGCCTGCCATAGCCCCCTGCTGTGCTACATAGAAGCAGTCTACTATTCTAACAGGGCCAACCCAACTGGACCAGTCAACCAAACTAACAATCCAACCAACACTCCGTTCCTTTCCTTCTCAAGGAACCCCCATCCCATCTAGCTTCGACTTCCTCTGGACTTGGCCCAGAGGAAGAACCGGGCTGGCTTCTCATCTGCGACTTCCTCTGGACTTGGCCCAGAGGAAGAACCGGGCTGGCTTAGACACTGAAGCTTCTCATCTGCTTCTGTCCCTCAGCTCGAGGCCCACTTGCCTTTCAGTTACTCATTTTCTTTTTAACTTTTATTCTAGCCATTTGCTATGTCTGGACTAAGTTTTAAGTATTTGGCCTCCAAAAATGATTCGGGGAGGGGGGGCAAAATGCTTGATGAAAATGCAACAGAATGCTACTAGGGGAAGAAAAAAAAAAAAAAAAGGAACAGCTAGAAATCAAGACTTGAAGATGCAACCTAAGTTTCAAACTTTCATATTGTAAAATGTAGGCCTTAGAGATTAATTAGATGGGAAAATGTTAATTTGGGATTCATGGAGCCTAAGGAAGTCATGAACTCCCTGAAACTGTATGTAAAATATCTGTGGGTTCTCCCTTCCTTCCTTCCTTCCTTCCTTCCTTCCTTCCTTCCTTCCTTCCTTCCTTCCTTCCTTCTTTCCTTCCTTCCTTCCTTCCTTCTTTCCTTCCTTCCTTCCTTCCTTCCTTCCTTCCTTCCTTCCTTCCTTCCTCCTTCCTTCCTTCCTTTTGCTTTTCGGGGGAGAAGGTCCATAGTTTCATTAGGCTGTCAAAGGGAGGTAAATTTATTTATATCTCCAATGCCTAAAATAAGGCCAGATATATATAGTAGGGACTCAATAAACATTAAAAAAAATTCAACACTTGTTGAATAAATGGATGGTTGAAAGGTCTGAGCTCTAATGCATTTAATTTTGTAGATGGAGAAACTGAGTCCTAGAAAAGATATAACTGCTTCTTCAAGGTCATGAGCCTAAGTAGTCAGGACCGGTAGGTTAGTTGTTTTAACGCTTTCCAATGCTAGCTGGTGTTTTCTGGTTTTTTTGTTGTTGTTTTTGTTTTTTGGTGTGTTTTTTTTGTTTTTGTTTTTTTTTTTTTGCCTTTTAACTTAATCATATCTTTCACTCCATTTCATTTTTTTCCTCCCAATCCATTACTTTTTAAGCAGACAAATGCATCTTATTTCCTAGATAGAAGTTGCCAGCTAGTGCATATCCCAAAAGGGAGGTGGGGAGTGCACAGCAGGAGGGTCTATGGAAAAGGCCAGCAGAATAATTTGTTTGTGATAGCACACACAGCATGGCTGCCATTCCTATGTGCGGAGGACTTGATTAACATGGTACCGAAACGGCTGTGACTGATGGAAATATGTGAAGCTAACGTAAGTGAAGTTGGGTCTAGGGGGTGGCAGTAAATCTTAAGCTTAAAAATTGGCCAGCCCGAGCAGCTTTCCTATGAGCAGGCCTGCTTGGTTGAAAGCCCCTTTTGAGGGCCTTCCTTGCTTGTGAAGCAATTAGGAAATCCTGGAGAATTCAAAGCAGGCCTTCCTACTCTCCAAACAGTTCACAACCAAACCCAGCAGACAAGGGAGGGGGGACGCAAACTGCCACCCAGAGGAGAGGAAGAGGGAGAGGGAGAGGACCTAGTCCTCACGGAGCTGCTCCTAAGGAGAGATTTTGAAAGAGACCAAGAGACACAGGCTGTGACACAGCAAATTTCTTGTGCTAACAACTCCCTCGGCAAACTGAGGCCAACAGGAAGACTCTGAGGGCTAGAACGCGTCAGAGGCAAGGGAGGTCAGCTCTCCTTAACCTAGTGACACCCCCAGAATGCTAATTACTTGCAGAAGATCTTTCCAGTAAACTCTTCTTTGACCGCCCCCCCCCCCCCCCAATGTAAATGCAGTCATTTTGGAAGGGAATCTGTCACAATGCTCTGGGTTGTGCTTATGGGCTCTCTGTATTGTATTATCTGGTAGTGGTAGGAAACATTTAGTGAGGAAGAAAGAATCCAGAGGGGACAATAAACAACCTGAGTCTGAGTGAGGCCCAGCTGTGTGACCTGGATGGAATCACTTAACGTCTCTGTTTTTTGATTTGTAAAACAAAGGTTTCGGTTTATATAGCCTCAAACAGCACTTTTCAGCTTTGGCATACTACATATTATATCTAAGTTTGAGGTTTGACCCTGTGACAGATTTTTCAAACAAGATCAGAAGAGGTTACCCTTCAGCCAGAACAAAACAAAACAAAACACAAAAGACCTCAACCTCCCCCCCCCCCATATTATTTTCTTAGATTTCTCTTGCAATTGAGATAGCAATTAAAGGGGAGAGGGATGTTCATTTATTGGAATGAACAGCAACCCTATTGCTTTAAGATAAATGATGAAAACTTCAGAATCTTATATTCAAAGGGGAAATTTTTAAAAAGAGGGGCTCAGACAATGATTAGAAGACCTTGCCTTCACTTTCTATGGTGGGATTATAGATGATTCCAGCTAATTTATTTATTATTTGGATTCGACTCTCAAAATGTAGACATTTCACAAAATCTAAGTAGCAATCATTCCATTAATAGAGCAAAGGGGTCTCTTTTGTGATGATCTGGAGGTCTTCCGTGCAGCGTGCTTCAGTTCTGCCCTAAGCCTGAAGTTTCCCTAAAGATTGCTAACAGCTTTCTACGTTTTGCTCACAGAACATCCAAGGATTAGCCAGGTAGCTCAGTTTCTCCCTTCCTCATAAATCTAACAACCCTGGGGTTTCAAAATTCTCCGAACTGCATTCCCCAGCAAGAATCAAATAGGACACTGAAGCTCAGAAAGGCAGCTAAACAAAAGCTCTGTAGCAAAGGACTTGTCAGGTTAATAGAAAAAGTAAATGTATTTCGAGTTTAATGTGTTACCCTTCAAAAAAAAAATCCATAACTTAAAACTCCCATCTATCCTATGCTGAACTTCAGTTAAGGAGACGTAACTCAATGATTCAGTTTCCTCAGAGAAACTGAGCTCAGCAAATGACCCAACTCTGCACCTCTCCTGAGTCCCTGAGAGGCCTGAAATGGCCCCAAAGTGGGAGTGGAGAGCAAACTGTGAGCCCCACTGCGTGAGGCCTGCCCCCCTTAATAATGGGGACTGAGGAGCCTCCAAACACAAAGGCCCAGCTCCTGATGGGAATAAGACAAGAAGGGGGGCTGACTCCTGGGGTCCTGTGTCATCTCTGATGGGTGCCTTCCTTGCCAAAGACTAAGCCTGTTGAGGATGGTCCTCAGTGTTGGATCCCTGGCGTCCCTGTGTCTCATCCCCAAGTGAGGAGTGTGTGTGGAGACCCTTGGGCCTGCCTAGGCCAAGGGGCAGCGGGCCGAGGCATCTGCACTCACCTGGGACTCCAGAGCTCACTTGACTGGACCCTCCTGCTCCTGTGACCTCGGAGATCCCCTCCTCCGGTGGCCATCCCTCAAGCAGACCTCGGGGCAACGACGTCAGGACAGGTTTGACCACCTGAAAGGACAAATAGATGGGTAAGGTTACTCTGCTGGCTCAGAGGAGAATGGAGAGATTGGGGGCTGGGTCATTTTGCAGGAAATCAAGGAGAGCCGAGGCTGAAGGGTAGGGGAAGGGCAAACAGGCACACCTGGGCCAAGGGCTACGGGGCAGGGGCGCTGATGCAGGAGGGCCTCTCAGAGGTGCCCACAAAGCCTCCCAGTTTGAGAAGGGTCTGGGACAGAGAAGAGGGTCCTGGTCTGAGACCGCAGCAAGCGTGCCCAGGACCTTTGACGCCATCCCTTCCTTGGTCTCCAGCCCAAGGCCGGTCAGACAGAGGGACTCAGAGCAGCCATAGGTCTTGGAATAAGGACAGAAGGGGAGAAAGGGCACGAAGGCAGGAATGCTGGCTCTAGCTGGGTATGGGAGAAGATCCAGAAGGAAGCAGCACGCAGTAGCCCCCAGCGGGGGCAGCCACTAGAGGGCAGGTGGTGGGGAGGGGGCTCTGTGGTGCCCTCACCCCTTTCTTACTGCAGAGGCAATCCGGTTTTCTAACGCAGGCAAAAACCTCAGCTAGTTGCCTGGCCTGGGAGGACCAAGTTGCCCCAGCAGCTTCCTGGACACTTTCCAATGGGGGTCTGGAGGGTGTGTGTGTGGAGGGGGGAGGGAAGCAGACTGAAGTGGGAAAGGGTCTCCCTTCCCTGTTAGGGCTCTAAGGGTTGGCATCAGGCGCAAATGCTTGGAAGTTTCCATCAGGCCCTTGATTAACTGACAACGTGGCTTTCTTCAAAAGGGGTGCATTAGCAGTTTGGAGGTTCAAAGAGATACCCGCCCCCCCCCTCCCCCGCCTTTGCTGACCTTCCCCAGCAAAGACAACATAGGGACCAAGGGCTTGGTTAGCTCCCACCGGCCCCAGGCTGATGCAACCGCCCTGAGGAGGGAGGCAGAGACGAACAAAAAGCCACAGGTTTTCACTCATCGTGAAGGGAGAAGGGCAGAGGGTCTTTGTCCCACCGGGAGTGAGACACCCCTCCAGGCAAGACCCCTCTCCTCTTTACCCCCGAGCGGGATGGCCAGCGGGCGCCCCAGCCCCGCGTGCGGCCGCCCCAGCTGCTGGGCTGCAGCAGCAGCAGCTTCTGGGAGCAGCAACAGTTGTCTGGCCGCGGCGAAGCCAGGCGAGGCTGGCTCTGGCGTGTGCACGACGCCGGCTGCGGCCCGGAGCTCCTGGGCTCCGCAGCCTGGGCCGCGGACCCAGCCTCCGCGGGGGGCAGTGAGGGGACCCCCGGCCCAGTAGCCCCCCAGCCTCCTTGCGCTGGAGTTGCTCAACCCCTTTCGGTGCAAGTTCACTTCTCTTAAGTCACCTCTCCCTCTCCCAAACCTGGTGGGGAAGGAGGCTTTTGGAGAGAAGAGGGCTTTCTGGCTAGGGAGAGGTGGGGGGGAGTGAGAAGCAAAAGACAAAAGCAGAGCCGGAGGGACCTGGGTGAAGCTATTTTTAATCCTAACGTGGCTCCTGCGCCTCTCCCTCGGCGAAGCCATCGCTCCACAGACGGCCCCACGTGAGAGGCCGGGAGGAAACCCACCCAGGGCTTTTGCTCTCGCTCCCTCTCCTCGGAACGTGGTAGAGACCCTTTTACTCTCTCAGAACCCGCAATCCGGGAGGAGAAATCTCCTTTATCTGCGGAGAGGGGCTCGGATTTAAGCCTGGAGCTTGGAGTCCTCATCTCAGGTGCTTTCTCGGAGGCTGAGCTGCAAAGGCTGACTCTGTCCAGCAGTCCCCGCGTCCCTGTCCCTTTCTCCACTCGGCAGAGTGGGTTGCCTGGGTGCCCAGCTACCCGGGAGCAGAAGGAGGGTGGTGGTGGTGGTTGGGGTTCGGGGGATCCAGGCCCTCCCCCAAAAAAACCGAGTAGCCTTGCAGCCCTCGGATCTTGGACTCTCGTATCCCTAGACGCATCCTCTACCCTGGATCATCCCTGTGGATGCCTGCGTGTGTCTGTGTGTCCTTCTGGTCCAGTCCCTGAGGACGTCTGGCCGTTCCTGAGGCGAAGGGCATGGGCTTAGCAGATCATGGCTGGCGAAGGCCTGATTGCACCACTTGTAACCCAGGTGGTCACGACTGCAGGGAGTGGAGGAGGAGGAGGGGGACCCCAGACGGTCCCCACTCCTGCAGTTCTGCCTCCCTCCCCAGGACGGGGTTCCTCAGGAGGCCAGGTCAGGGCTGCTGCTGCTTCTCTGGGCTGCAGAGTCGGGTACAACCTCATCTCTAAAAGCTCCTTGTGTGTGTTGGGGTGGGGGGGAGAGCAGGGGTTTTTTGTTTTTGTTTTTTTACTGTTTACCCCCTTGGGGGCTACTTGGTTCTGAAAAAGACACGATGGGGCGTGGGGGGAAACCCGATGCTGCAAAACGCCCTAGATTAGGGTTGGAAGCAGGTGCCCCGGGGAAAAAAGGAACTCCAGGGGATCGGGCGATGCCCGGGTTTCCCCTCTTTTCGGAGGAGCCACCAATTCCCCTCGGCTCGCCTCACCTTGGGGTCCCCGCGCTAGGACGGAGGATGCCCGAGGCCTCCGGCCCCTCCCTCCAGGGCTCCCCCACCCCCACAGTGCGGCTGGAGCTATAGGGTCCAACGTGACCAGAAAAATGTCCTTAACTGATGCATCTTCCAGGTGCGGACTTGGCTCCGAGACCCGTGGATGGGGTTATTTGGGGTGTTGGGCGGGGGGTGTGGGGGGGAAGACACAACTTCTGCAAACTTTTATTGTATTTTGGCTTCTTCCTACTTCTCCGAACACACACACACCCGCACACAGCCCGCTCCCATGTCCCCCTGTGATACAAAGTCCGCTAAAAAGTTGGGGGGGCGGGGGAGACCCGCACGAAGGACAGACGGGTGACCAGAGCCTCGGCGGGCGGGCCAGCGCTGGAAGGATGGATCCTTCCCTAGAAAACGGGGGATCGGGCTGGGGAAGGCTCCGGCCGCGCCGCCACCGCTTCGGGAAGGGGTGTATGAGCTTCGGCGGTGGCCGCTTGCAGTCTTCTCTCGACGAGTGCGCCCCCCGCGAATGCTTTTTGGGGTAAGGGCTTCCGGCTATTGAGTTATGTACAGCAAGCCCAGACCGCAAAAAGATTCGCGAAGGGCAGAGTCTGCCGGCTTCTTCGGGCCGCCGCCGCCGCCGCCTTGAGTCCAGGATGCCGCCTCCGAAGCCCAGCGCCGCCGAGCAGCCCGGGTCTCCCCGGCGCGGCTCAGCCTGCCCGCCCCGCGCCGCCCTCCGCCTTCTCCGCCCGCCCCGCTCCGCGCCCCCGACCCATCCCTGCCTTTCTCCGCACCGTCCGCGGCCCCCGACTCAGCCCGCACGGCCTCGAGCGAGGGGTGCGGAGAGCCAGGAGCGCCGAGGGGGGACCAGGGATCCCGCCGCCCAGCCTCCACCCCTCGCCCGCAGCTCTAACGCTCCAGTCTCCCCGCCTATCTGTCTGTCTGTCTGTCCTATCGCCCCCGTTCCCCTAGCCGGGGCTCCGCCGGCCCCGCTGCAAGGTCGCGGATCTCTAAAACAGGGAAGAGTTCGGATTCCCCCTGAAGCCCCTCTCGTCCCTCCTAGTCCCCCAGCCGAGGCTCCAGCCGTGACTACAGGCGCTGCGTAAAGAGAAAAACTCCCCCAGAGCACTAAATAAATACAGGCCAGGCTGCCCGCCCATTGGTGCGGACTAAAATCGTCACCCACCAATCAGGAGAGAGCTCACATTTTCTTCCTCCTCCCCCTCCTTCCCCCCCCCCCCCCATCAGGGGGAGGGAGAAAAAAATATTTCCATTTCTAATTATTCAACAAAACCCAGATGGGGGCACGTTAAAATATTGTTGTTGCAAAAAATATATAAGCCGACCATGGACACCCCCCCCCCCATTCCAGCCCAGGTGAGTGGAGGCGCGCGAGATATTGGGCAAACGGGGTTCAAGAGAGCGACCTCTCCCCAAAGGTACCCAAGCCAGAAGATGCAGACAGAAAATGACAGGCAAAGATGAATAAATATGAAATAAACTCAAAGCTCACCGTCGTCAGCCTATTTCTATAAAAATGGCAATCTCCCCCCTCCCCTCCTTCTTAATGCTCAGTAGGAAAGGTGGAGATCCTCCCTTCTCACCCTCCCCAAACCCGTCTAGATATGGGTGTCTAACAGACCACTCGCCTCAGGTGCCCTTTCCTTGCTGCAGCCCCTCCCCCCGCTCCGTGCCCATTCTGCAGAAGATTGGAGGAACAACAAGTCCCGAGCCCCTCACAGACCTCCGCCTCCTACAGACGCGAGAATCCAGCATCTGCAGGGGTTAGGGGGTGGGGGTGGAGAGAGACTACCCTGGAAGGACCGAGAAGATCTCTTTCCCATGTTCACCCTCCTTCCCTCGCCCTTCTCTCCCACTAGGCACCCTCCGGCATCCCCAAAACCCAGACTTGGAGAGAGGGTGCCTTCCTACTTTCCCAAGGCAGCGCCACCCACCCTCCCAAAGCCTTTCTCGCCCCGCCCCCCTTCCCCCCTACAGTGTCGGAGAACGTGTGACCGCCTCCCTCCCCAGCGGGAGTCACCCGGTAGGGAAAAACACAGCCAAGGTAGGATGCTGCAAAATTGCCATAACTTAGGGGCGAAAGTTGCCATATTTGTGCTTGGCCACTTTGGGAATCGACGTGCACTGGCACGCGCGCGGGCGCGCGCGCACACACACACACACACACACACGCACACGCACACGCACACACTAGCTCTGCACGCCGCCAGGAGAAAACGTAGCTAGACGAAGTAGTCACCGTCTCCCATAGTCTCCCATCGGCCCACCCACTCTGCTCATCCATCACCCTTCTGCGGCTCTGCGGCCCACCCACCCACCCACCCTCCCCTCCCCTCCCCTCCCTTCCACTCCCCTCCCCTCCGCTCGGCGACCGGCGGACAGACGCACGCACACACCCTCCGCGCGTCGACGCGCCGGGCGCGCTCCAAAGGGGGCTCCACAGGCTGGCAACTGGGGGTGGGAAAGTTCTGCGTAGCCGACCACTGAGCTACCCACTACCGGCCGACCCTTAAACCAATCCCCTGCTCCTTACCTGGGTCCGGAGGCCCCGGGGGCGCGCTGGTCCCGTCCGCACTGCAGTCCGCTGGCAGGAGCCCCTCTCCAACGGGCCCGCTCCCCCCCCCCCCCCCCGTGTTTGTCCAGCGGCAAAGCAGGCTTGTCCAGGTAAGTACAGAAGTTACTGTCCTGGGTGGGAGGGTCACGATCTTGGTAATTGCGGCTTCCCAGCGTTAACCCCTGCGATCCTGCCTTCCTCCAACTTGTTGAGGACTCGTCCGGTCCCAGACTGAGCAAGCTAAGCGAGCGAGCGCGCCAGTGAGCGCGCCGGCCGGGAGGGGAGAGAGGTGCACCGGACAGCCAGTGGGGGAGTTCAAATGTACCCCCTGGCAGCGGTTTTCATTGGATAGGTTCTTCCCCCCACGCCCGTTCCCCCCCCCCCCGTTTCGGTGTTCTCCCCCCTCCTCCCCCCCCCCTCGTCTCCTTTGTAGGGGACGTCTCCAGGCAAAGTCACGATTCCTTCTCAGTTCGGAATGAACTGTGACTAGAGCCATGACGAAGCCAGAGCGCATTACTCACTTTTTGCAGTCACGACTTGGGAATCCGTGCTGGTTCGAACCAAAATTACACCGCTGCCATTGAATTATTTAATAGGTTCCAGTTTTGGGGTAAACTTGGGCATTGTGTAAAGCGACAGAGGAGGGGGAGGAGAGGGGAGAGGGGGAGGAGGGGAAAATGAGAACCCCGAGGGTCCTCCCCACTCCCTTCATGACACTCGGACATCCCCACCCGCTCCACGTGTTGCAAGTGCTGCGTTGCACTACCACCCCTCCCTGCCCGACCGCCCCCCCCCCCAACCCCAGCTATTTTCAGTGCAAATGTAGGAGAATTTGTAAACACGACCACGCAGCTTCAGGGCGAGGCTTGGGAAAGGGAACTAGTTGGATGAATGAAGAAGGTGGTGAGGGGTGGGCCGAGAAGTTTCAAGCAGCTTTGGTTCAAGCTGAATTGTCAAAGCAAAGTGTGTGATGCAACGTTATGTTATTCTCCACAAAAAAGTAACAGCCCTTGTTACTATTATTCAAGCTGGCGAATACTCAGGCTCAGCCAGGGAATCTTCCCGGAGAGGGACTGCTTCTGAGCTAAAAATAACTCGTCCTCCCCCCCCCCCACTCCACCCCCTGCCCCTCGCAGGTCACTAAAGCCAGAGGCTGTTGCTGGATTTGGGTGGGGCATAGGGGGCAGAGAGTACCTGAAGACTAGCCCCCCCTCATATACTTACCTTACCAAGTTTATTCTTTTTAATTGCATAGAAGACATCCCTGTGTGCATACAGCTTGCTGCAGGTCCGCAAGATTGCCTCATTTTCCCCACCGTCTACAGCCCATCCTTGTGGCCAGTTCAAGGATTCATTTTTATTATTCCTTTACCTGGAGTTAATCGGGATAAATGTCTTTGGGGGGGGGCGGGGTGATATTCAACCCCACCTCTGGCCTCTGATAACCTTCCTCTCTCCTCACCTGCCTGGTTACAGGTTTGGTCAAGGTGTTGACTGGAGTTGATTGCAATGAATATCACGCTAGGTCCAGCTCATAACCCCAGGGAGTTGATGGTCTCCCCAATAACATTGGCTTACTAGGAGAGACCCTTTCCCCAGTTTTTAGAAATCCTTTAGGTTTTAAGGCGCCTGGCGATGTTCCCAAGCCTGAATTCTCTGTGCATCGTACCAGCAACTCCTGTGCCTTGGCTTCTAATGCATTCACACACACCCCAACTCCTTCAGGGCTCCTATGACAAGGATGCGAAGCGGGGAGAATAAGAAACATGCCATAATGCACCGATACACCCTTACACACTTCACAGGAATTGCAAAATGTGGGAGTGAGACCCAGAATAAAGCAACCTATGGCCTCTTATTTTGAGAGCCACCACCACCACGGGAGAGAAATATTTCAAAGCCTCTGGCGGGAAGGTGCGGGCGCCTGGGAATGGAGACCCAGCTAGTGTCTGGCCTCTGCGGAAAAAGCCAGCGAGGCGCCAGCCGTTTGGTTCCTGGAGCGCTGGGCCTCGGCTCATCCTGGAATCTAGCACTTGGTTCCCCCTCCTTTAATTTTTTTTCCTTCCTTTCCTTCCCACTCACCCCTCCTTTTCCCTAAAGCTCTCACCGAAGTCACGACTATCCCCTTTGAACATTCTTAACTCTCTCCTCTCCGGACCCTCCTTCTGCAGCCAGGGCGGGGCTACCCGCAGCTGGCGCCAACCCCGCCCCCTGGCGCTCGGATTCGAACTCGCAGAGGACCGCGGAATGATCAGCACCTGCCTGCCGTGGACAGCGACCTCGCCCTGGGCCGGCCGGGACAGGGGTCGCCTTCTTCCCGCTCCTGGACCGGAGCGCGCAGGGAAGTTTGTCAGAGGAATAGGGATCCTAGCCCTTTATCTCCCAGCCCCGTCCATGCGATTTTAAATCTGTAACTACCATTAATCTCCCGGAGAAATAGCCCATGAAGTCGTATCTGGGCACCCTTTAAGACCGAGAAAATGGGGAGAGGAGGGGGCAGTCGGGGGAATTGAGCTCAACAGCGCCGACCCATAAGGAGAGAGGGACTTGCAGCGGCTATTGATTCAGAGATTCGTCAGGGTGATTCCCCAGCTCTGCGAGAATTTCCCCCTTTCCGTTCCTTTGCATGCAGCCCCAAAATTCATTATGCACACACTCACAACTATACCCTTCACACCACCACCACTCAGTCCCACCCTCCACCTTAGGAAGGGGCGAAAGGCAGCCAAAAAGAACCGGGGGGCATGCACCAAGTAAGCCTCGGCTTGTACTCACAGTCTGCGGCATGCACATGACATAATCTCACTTACCCAAACGGGAACTCCTTCAGAGAGAAAAAGAAACACAGGGGGAAGGAAGAGAAAGTGGAAAGACAGAGGGAGACAGAAGAGAGGAGAGGAAAAATCCAACAATTAATTTCAGACATAGTTGGGGGGGGAGGGAATGCGTTGATGTCCAGGTTTTCTTCCACCCGCGTTGGCTTTTTATCCCAGTGCAGCCCTCGGTCTATTTCTGGAACACGATCAAACCCTGATGCTATTTTTAGCAAGCACTGAAAAAACCTCCACACACAAAGGCATTTCGCTGGAACGTTTTGTCCAAAACACTACATGTGCATTAAGCGCCCCCCTCCCCACCTTTTTCTGCCCCGCCAGCCTCACTTGCACTACTGCAGGGGGGTGTTTCTCAAGGCAGAAAAAAATGCCCCGATTATTTCTTATATTCTCCCTTCCTCTCGCGTTTGCCTCTGCCTGTTGCAAGCTCCTCGCAACAGCCTCTCGGAGCAGGCGGCTTTGGGGGGTGGTATTCTTGTAGAGCCTCCTGTCTCCGTTGCCCAGATTCCCTGCATTCTGGGGCAGAGGAGGCTGCTTAGGCCCCTTCCCCAGAGGAGCTTCCCAAGCAAGCTCTCCAGTCTAGTGCCATCCGCGATGGAGATTCCCAAAACGAGCGGGAGGGGGAATCTTCCAGACCCTTCCCACGTTCCCCACCCATGCTTTGCAAAATATCGCGCCGTGTTTGCAACACACCGCCTTTGGAAATGTATAATTTGGAAGCTGCATGTGTGTGTGTGTGTGTGTTTTGCGTTCTAGTAATTCACTACGAGGGGGCTGGAGGAGAGAGACTCGAGAAGGCAGTGCAGAGCAGCCGCCTTGAGTCTCCTTTGCCAGCCTGCGTCAGTCATCAGCTACTGACGTCACGTGCAGATTCTCCTCTTTGGTGGGTCTGGTTCAGCGGGGAAAAGGCTTCTGCACGGAGACAGCGCTTTGTGTTCGGCTGCAGCCACTGAGCAGGCGAGGCTGCCGAGGCGGGCGCCACCCCAGGCGCGGGCTGGGCAGCTGCAGAGGAGGCTGCAGCCCTGTCTCCACCCCGAGTGCGCCCCGAGGGCGGGCGCGCCCAGCAGGAGAGCCCCCCTCCCAAATGCCCTCAGCTCCTCTTCTCCCTCCCTCTCTTCCCCCTCCCAACTCGGCTAGGTGTGCACAGACTCGCGCAAGCGTCGGTTCCCCCGCCCTTCTGCAACTGGCCATGTAGCAGAGACAGCTATGGCTATAACTCGGATTAATTCTGTGTGCTTGTCGGGCAGAGAGCCCCAGCTCCTCCAGTGACGCAAATAACAGATTCTACGGCTCCCGCTTTCTCCCCTGCTCCTTTTTTCTCCCTCCCTCCCTCCCTCCTTCTTTTCCCTCTTCTGTTTCCTGCGCCCACGCATCATGCTTGGTCTCCCACGGAATCAGCCAGCTACAGCTTCCCAGAGAGCCATAAAATTCCAAGTTACAGACAGACAGATTCCCAGAGCAGGAACAAATAAAGCTGCAATTAAACACAGCCCTTTGCAAATGGCCAAAAGCGTTTGAGGTGTGTTTTTTTTTTTTAAGGGGGGGGGGGGGCAGGAAACAGGGCTTGCTGCTGCAGCTTTTCCCTCTCCTCGCCACCCCAAAAGGAAACCCACCTCCATAAGTACCCAGATGGCAGGGTATTAGCAAATAAACAACTTCTGTTGGATGGCAGGGGAGGAGAAAATTCAACCAAAACTGAAAATGCTTAGTCTCTAGCCACATAATCAGGACTTGTAAAGACTAGGGGATGGCTGGTTTTACCCTTCCTCCTTCTCACAGCTCAGGGGTCCTTTTTCTTCTTCTTCTTCAAAAATATCCCTGAAAAAATGAGCTCAGTGGGTTAGTGCTATTTTTTAAACCAATTTGAATGGAGCCTGTTTCTCAAGAGTGACAACGTGTGTGTGTGTGTGTGTGTGTGTGTGTGTGTACGTGTGTACGTGTTTCAGTGAATCTGAGGTTTTCAGCAGAAGACATGCCACATCTCAGCATGACAAAGCGCTTATTGATTAGTGGTGATGGAGGTGGGAAGAATCTGTGCATATTGGAAGATCTGAACCACATCTCACACAGAGAGATCCTCCTCCCCAGATCTACCTGGCGTCCCAGATCCACCTTGCATATAACTTCTGTTCTGAGGGAGTGAGGAGAACAGAGAACTACTTCGTCATGGCTTGATGCATGGGTCATCTCCTTTATTAACCCTAATTATCAACGTTCCCAACGGTGGTTTTCCTGAATGACAATAAACAATTTTCCAGAGCTTACTACCAGGATCTGGGGCACAAGCCTGGCAGACAGTGATCGCGGAGCTCATCTTTAATCAGTGTGATCTTTAATACCCTCTCATCTTCCTCCTCGGGGGATCCTAGCCTTTGTAACTTGCCTTGGAGATTTTGGGTTAAGCTTAAGCCCCTCCTGTACCCTCAACTTCTGTCTCTGGGTCAAGCCTGGCCTGCTAAAGGGAGACAGAGGACAGCTGCTCGGCATGGAGGACACCTTCTGGCGGCCCATCAGCAGCTATTTATTTTTAGCTCCATGAATGCATGCATGTATGCATGTGAGAATGTCGCTGCAGTGGGGAAGCGTGCAGCCAGGCAGTCAGAATGAGAACTAGATGGCCCTGGCTCTTCCGCTGAAGATGACTTATCACAAAGGCTCATTGAATGTGGCCCAACAGATAGGAAAGCTTCCCCTTCAGTGTTTCAATGAAGTCTTCGGAGGTTCATGAACATTTCAGGCTAAACATGTTTTTAAAGGCCCAGAGTTGGTATGTTTCTAGAGAGATGGGAGGAGGTACATGTAAGCATAAGTTCACATTTACAGAAGCCGTGTAGTTTCTCTATAAGCTACATAAAGTCTGTAAAGAAGAGACGATTTAGAATAATGTGGCTTGCTTTCTATGGCAGTTGGCTGCTATTGTGGCTGATGCTGAGACCAAGGCAGGTTCCTTTAGGATCCCTTTGGGGGTTCCCTAAATGGCTTCCAGCAAACCCTGAGTATAGCCCTAAAAATTAGGTAGAGTTGGAAATATAAGAAATGTGCTTAGACTCTGCATCTCAAAACTCTGAGAGCAGTAGCCCAAATGATACTAACAGAACCTTGACTGCCTGGCGAACTCAAAGTCTCTGCCTCTTCCACAGAAGGGCATCCCTTGGCTTTGTCCATATCTTACTGGGTGATCTAGCTGACCAGGTTGATGGGGAGGCCGGGGTGGGGAGGAGATGCCTACGAAGCTCAGCAGAAATGTTTACAGAAAGTTAGGCCTCCAGAACCAGCATCTCTGTTTTTTTGTATACACCAATCAAGTCCTTTGGCACAAGCCTGAACTGGAGCTGGTGACATTGGCTTTCTGAGCAGCTCTGCCATTCTTTGCTAAGGGCTGTGCTGCCCAGTTCCTGTTGGGGCAGTCAAGCTCAGGACCCAGGGAATTAATAGCCTGATGTGGAACCTGTCCAAGATGCAAATTGCCTTCTGCTCTGTCAACTGATTTCTGGGCATCCCAAGCATGAAGAGGACTTTCTTCCCCTGATGCTCCCACAGAAGGCCTGTAGGGGTAGGCTGTTGTCACAAAGCCCTTGAAAAGAACTGAGTCTCCTTTCTTTCAGGATCAGTGAAACCCAGAAATGTCCTGCCTGTGTCTTTTCTTGTCTCCTCTCCAAGCACCAAGAAAAAATGCCAGTAGGTAAAGTACTGGGTGTAGAGGAAGAAAATAATTTCTGCTCCCAGGAAATCAACCAATAGCCTACCAGGGAAGAAGTCCAGGGAAGAGATTCCTCTTTGTCTAAAATCATCCCAAAGGGAGCAGAGTTATTTTGGTCTAAATAATGTATGGGATATAGGACAATAAACCACTAGTCTTTGAATACCTACTATGTGCCAGACACTGTTCCAGGTGCTTTACTTAAGGCAATGCTATAGGTGTCATTATAATAATGTTACCTGCCCCATTGGGTTGTGGAGCACAGAAATCACTTCAAAAAATAGTAGTGATGATTTTTTCCAATTTTATAGCTAAGGAAGCAGAGGACAGATAGTTTAAGTGATTTGCCCAAAAGTCCTAGAGCTTGACATTGTACAATTAGGGATCCAATCAAATTCATGTCTGTGTGGCTTCACTATGCCAACGTTCTATCATGTGGCCTCTAACTTTTATATTCCAGTTCTAGGCTTCATTATTTGGAACTGGAGATGTCTGGGACTGTCTCAGTAATGACCCCAACTGATTTATTCCTCCTAATGAGCCCTTTAGTCAATAGACATATCCACACAGAAGGCTATCTGCCCAGGAAGAGAAGCCCTCCATCCTCTACCTGGGAAAGCCCAGGACATCCAAAACTCAAAAGGATTTGTCCGAAGCCAGCCAGTGTGGATTGTAGATGCAGTGAACTTTATGCCCATTCAGGCTGCTACACCCGCCAGGTTCCCACCTCCACTGAGGAAGCGCCTTAGATGGCACCAAAAAGGAGTTAGAAATTCCCCTGTCCAGGCTTTCAGGAAAGCTGTCTTAAGGTAAGAACATTTTGTTTGGTTTGCCATTGGAGTCCTCCTTCACCACTTAGTAACCGGCATCCCTGATCATTTTGATTCTGAAAAATTTTAGAGGCTAAGCCATTAGCACAGTGGGGCAGTTGATCCACAGCATGCATAATACAAGCTATTCCACGATCCCCTTCCCTTATTAAATACATGTTTTCATCACTTACCCTGATCAAGAGGTACATTCTGTCTCGGGAAACATCTCTTAGAAGCCAACATATTTGGAGATTTGAGGTGATATTTTTAAGGACCATATGCATGCTGGAGGAAAGTGACTAGAATTTCACCCCACCCCCTTTTTAGTTGCCATCAGCACTCAAGACTCTCAACTCTCTCTCTACCTGAAAGCAAGTGCAATGTTCAACATCAGAATAGTGAAGACAAGCTATGCTCTCTGCATGCCTCTTTCAAATGCTTTCCTCCCTACACCACTGTTAACTGCTGGATGTTTTGG